AAATCTGGAAGAGACGCTTCCTACCATCTTATCATAATACAAACCTTGTAAAGTACCCATGAACATATCGACTAATTCTTTATCAAAGAATGGTGGTTGCACACAAGATGCCATTTCTCTCCACCTTTGAGCATATTCCTTGAAGGACTCATCCTTCTTCTGAGACATGTTTTGGAGTTGCATGCAGTTAGGCGCCATGTCCAAGTTATACTTGTACTGTCTCAAGAAAGCATTGGAAAGATCTAACCATGTCTAGATATGATCCCGCTCCAATTTCATGCACCAGTCTAAGGATGCCTCACTCAAACTGTCTTGGAAGCAATGGATCATCAACTTCTGATCTTGAGCATGCACATCTTTCTACAATACATGCATAGATGGTTCCTCAGGCATATGATCCCCTTATATTTTCCAAAGTCAAGTACTTTGGATTTTGGATGGATCACCACATCTGGGACTAGACCCATTTCAAGAGCATCAACATCGAAAGCATTGCAACCCTCCATAACTTTCAACCTTTCTTGCAGAGCTTTGTACTGATTGAGCGCCAAGGGATTATCAATAGTTTTGGGTTGGTGTGCTTGAGTGACACCTTCCAAATCAAGATTTCCATATTGTAGATCTGCATAGTTGTCCGTATTGTTGACTGGAATCTGCAAAGTATGAGATGCGCCTACCTTTGATGGAGGTACGACAAACCCTTAAGTATCATCTTGTCTGACTTCTTGTTGAGCCATAATGGACTTTTGAGGTCCTGATTCCAATTCTCTTATTGGTTGGTAACCGCTCGATGCACCAATAGTCTTGGCTATTTCCTCAAAGGCTACCCTAGGAATATGTTCTTGCCTCTTGATGATGTTCTTCAAGGCTATAAGAACTTGACTCATATCTCCCTGATCCAAATCTTCCCTGAATGCGGCTTGGTTTTCTTTGATCTGTTCCATCACTTTCTTCTGATGGACTCTTGTTTGGTATGACGGTCGGAGATGTGGCGCTTTTCTACCAATGTTTTAACGAGATGATTTTGAAAATTAATGAGTTTTTTTGTTATGAAATGTGAAACGATTTGATGTTTGCAAATGCATGGATGCGTATGAATATGCTAAGAGTTTTTGTTTTTGAATGTCTTATTCACTTGGATTTTCCATATATATATATATATATATATATATATATATATATATATATATATATATATATATATATATATATATATATATATATATATATATATATATATATATATATATATATATATATATATATATATATATATATATATATATATATATATATATATATATATATATATATTCAGGTTTTGATTTTTATTGGTGAGCATCTAAAAAATAAATACACAATTGAAATATGGAAACAAAATATCCTTAGTGAAATAACCATTGTCCTTAAAAAGGATAATACAATTCAGATATTGAAAAATATTCAAATTTTAAAACATCAAAACTTGCTGAAAGAAATAACAAAGGGAAATAAAAATCTTCTAAGTGCGCCAGCGAATTTCTGCTATGAAACCATCAACCATAGTATTACAAAGCTTGAGGAAGTATTCGACGTCTTTCGGGAGAGGGACCATCACATTTTTCGCATCTCTCAAACTTTTAGGGATGTCACCAACAAGATTGTTGGCTAAGAAGGCGAGTCTTGCATGTTTGTCTTTATAGAATCGATACTCTTGGTAGAGGTACGAAATTATCTTATGATTATCCTCTCTTGCCTTGGCGATTTTTTTCACACTGCTCTTCCCAATATAGTTTTTCAGTCCTCATCTCCGTATAGAGTTTTTGTTGTATTAGTAAATTCTTTCGGATGTCTTCCAACTCAAGACATACTCGTTCGTATTCATCAATGTTTTGGGCGAGCAATCTTTCTGCCATCATCCTCTTGAGATGTTCCCCTACTTCCGATTCTTGGCTATCTCAGAGTCTTGTAGTAAGATACTTCATTTTCTCTTCTTGATCTAAGGAAGCTTGCGCCAAACTTTGGATTTGAACCCTCAAATATTCTTTCATCTCCTTCTTGTCTTGCATTTCCTTTTCGTACCATCTACTTAGTTTCCCGATCTTGCTAGCAGTATCCTCCAAACATTGGTTGTGGGAATCCAAGTTGAAAGTAGTACTCAACAACCCTTCAGTCGAACGCTTCCATTTAAGACTCTCCTTTTCAAATGCTTCACGACATCTCTGAATCTGTTGATCTTTTAATTCAAGTATGTGTTGCATCTGTCTTTTCTCCTTAGCTAATTTATGGAGGTTGAGGTCCAATTCTTCTTTCTCTTTTTGAGCTTTTTTCAAGGCTTTTTTCAAGTTGTCTATTTCTTCTAAGGACATAGGCGGAGAATATGGGACATCATACTTGTACTCAGGATCAATGTCAAAAGGTAGGTTCAGAACCTGTACCCTATCCAAAATCTATCGAGTGTAAGGTTCTTTTGCCACAACATTCTTCCTTTTGGCCTTTCTTTGGTTAACCCTACTCCAAGCTCGGATGATCTTGTTGAGCAACTCTCGGTCGTTTTTGCCCATGCCATAAATGATTAATTGTTGAAGTTTTCATCAGAGGGTTTATCATCCAAAGGGTACCCTAGTTTTCACAAAGCTAAGGTAGGGTTGTAATTGATGCAACCACAAGATCCAATCAATGGAACATTCAGAAAGTCTCCGCAACCATAAATGATATCTCCAATGTCTAGCTTGCTCGTATACCACAATACAGAATTGGCAGTAAGATACCTTAACTTTTGAGGCCATTTGTATCTCGTCCGATTTGGAACCATGTAATCTTCTTTATAGATGTGAGTCATAAATGAAGAATATAAAAGAGGGATACAACAATTTCGAGTACCCCTCCCCTTTTTATACCGAGTGTGAAGTGCATAATAAACATCAGCAAGTAAAGAAAGAGTTAGGTCCACACTCAAAGCTTTTGTGCCCCAAAATACACTAATAGCTGCAGGGTCAATATAGTCCAAAGTCCACGGAAATAGAACTACACCAAATACAAGTATCCCTAAGCAATCAACACAAGATCCCCATTCTTTGTTATCGGCAAAATAAAGAGCTTTAGTTTCTAAATAGCATCTCTTAGTCCCTTGTATATCACCTTCTTTTTTGTAATTAAGTGACAATTCGAGATAAGGGATCCCTAAACCATTTGCTAAGTCTTTAATGTCAATAGTCTGTCCAATTCCCACATAAGCTTTTACCTTAGATAAATTCAAGAGTTTATCAAACTCTTCCAAAGTTGGCGCTAGCTGAAAGTCTTGGAAGGTAAAACACCCCAATGGAGGGTCGTGTAACTGAACCAAGGAAGAAACAACATCCAATTGTACATCCACTTTTGTCAATTCAAGGGTATCCCCATAAAGGCGAGTAAACATTTTTAAAGCTCTTTCAGACAGTTTCCCTTTGATAGTCTTGATCTTTGCCATGTCTGGCTTGACGGTATTAACACGAACAAGTTGTTTCCCTCTGACATTCATTTTTAGACACTTCACCAAAAAACCTTCGATTACATTTTTTAATCCTGTGAATAAGACAGACAAAAAGAGTGGAGAATAATGAATATATGAAATGCAGGATGTACGAATACATGATTGTGTGGCATAGTAACGAGATTTCATGAAAGGTATCCTTAGTTGGTAGGCTCCTAGTTTTAGCCTACGGATACTCTATCCTCCCCATAAGATGGTTTCCTTAAGGGTATCATGGATAATACTAGAGGGAAAGGCACAAGATCCTCCCTTAAGCGGAGACTCTTTACAGACCCAAACTTTCATCTCTAGGTCATGAAAGGTCTCACCATGAGATTTTGGTTTAAGGGTTATACAAAAAGTCATATGTTTCGTTCCAAAGTCCTACCCCTAAGAGGATGTCTTTTGAGACATATTTCTTTTTTGGAATTCCATTGACTCTAGGCGAAGTCGTCACAAAAACTCATAGGGATGATGTATCCCCTTGACCAATAGACAAACCTTCTTTCTAAGGGGACCATTAAAAAAAAACAGCCATAGACTCTTAAAAAAACACACACTCCCTTATTATTTATAACAGGGCCAAAAAACGTTTTAATGGGCCATCAGATTTTGATGATCCATTAAGGCAACACACCCCTCTTATTAATATTTAAAATCCCAATTTATAATATTCAAATAAACAATTCAAACCATATGATTTAAAGATTTTAAAAATAGTAACATAAAATGATTATCTAATGAGTCAAATTTGGGATACGATAGACTGTATTGAAATGTCCGAAATATCCATGCCTCCGGATCTGTAGCGTTAATGGCACAACAATTATAGATTGGATTTGCACTAGATCGAAATTAATCTTCCAATCTGAAACAAATGAACACCGCATAATGATAGGAAAACAAAATGTACCACATAAATGGGAAATCAAAACAAACACGACGCACTAAAATGATGAAATCACAAAAAAAGCAAAAGAAACACTAAGTATGTGTAAAAATCACTTATTTAACTAATAAAGAAAAAAAACTACTTGAAAAGCCAATTTTGGATCAAACTTGATCCTAAATCACCCCTTTATGAGAGATAAAGAAGAAGAAGAAAAATGACGACGGTTAAGATAAGAGGAGATTCTTATTAGGACTCCTTTGAGAAATACAACTTTATTATTATTATCATTATTATTATTATTAATATTATTATTATTATTATTATTATTATTTATTATTATTATTATTGTTATTATTATTATTATTATTATTATTATTATTATTATTATTATTATTATTATTATAATAATAGAAAAGTCAATTCATAAAATTTACAAACTCTCAAACATAAAATTTTAATATAATTTGGTCCACATCAAGTTCGCGACATTATAACTACAAAGTAGCTAATGAATGTCTCTCAAATTATTCAAATGTAGTATAACTTAAAAATTTAATAGGATAAGAAGATTCACACAACACATGCATATCAATATCAATAGCATTATTTTGTAGTATTTCAATTCCTTAACAAATTCAACTCCTCAATTAGAGCATTCAAATCACAGTAAGATGACCCTTCTTCTTCCACCGACTTTTCAGCTAACTCTGACAACACTTTCACCCTCTTCCTCATTTCCTCTATCTCTTCACCTTCCATAATCCTCCTCACAGCCTTCTCCAATGCATCCCAATGAACCTTATCCCCCACCAAACCAATCCATTTTTTAGCTCCAACAGGCACACCAATTTTAAGCACCTCACTCAACAACTTCTCATTGTAAAATTGCTCATAAGCCATAGGCCAAGTAACCATAGGCACCCCAGCAGTGACACATTCTAAAACTGAATTCCATCCACAATGAGTCACAAATGCACCAATTGCTTTGTGTTCAAGAATACACACTTGTGGTGCCCAACCTCTGATAATCATCCCTTTTCCTTCCATTCTTTTCTCAAATCCTTCCGGTAACCATTCTTCTCCCTCGTCTTCACTTTTCCTAACCACCCAAATAAATTTCTGTTCCGAAGCCTCAAGTCCCATAGCAATTTCTCTAAACTGAGAGTTAGAAAAATGTGCCATACTACTATGACACACGTAAATAACTGAGTATGGTTTCATCATATCAAGCCATTTTAGACACACATGTTGATGTTGATCAATAGAAATAGCAACATCTTTATTCCAAAGAGGCAAAGGACCAATATGCCATGCTTTTCTTCCAAGAACGTTCCTGTAATAATTTGCATAAACATTTTCAAGTTCATAGAAGCTGTTAACAACCACTCCAAAGCTCTTAAGTTCTGACTCCTTTACTTCATGCATTAATTTAGCCATTCCATCAAACTCCTCCCAGTTCTCAAAAGGTGCAATCTGCAACCTTGTCATTTTAATCTCCCCAGGAAGATTAGAAATAACAAAAGATTCTGAACCAGAACCAACATTCCTGAAAGGTTGATAGAGTCTCATACACTCAGCAGCACACAAGGAAAAGTAACAAGTACCATGAAACACGAGTCTAGGAATTCCGAATTTGAGTGCAGAACCAGTTGCCCATGGGAAAAACATGTCGGCTACAATACAATCTGGATGTTTCTCTAGCAGTAGCTTTTCAAGTGGCTCTTGTAACATCTTTGTGGCCAAACAGAATGTAGGAAACCATTCTGGAGAAGGGATTGAGTCAACATTTTCACATTTATTTGGTAAACCAGCCTTTGAGGAAGGAAATGGTATGGTTTGAATATGAATATTGTGACCAAGAATTTTAGATTTTTCTATAGCTTTGGAGATAATAGGCTCATTGAGAAGAGTTGTAATGATTGTGGATTTCACACCTTTTGCTGCAAATAGTTTGGCCATATCAATAGTGGGTCTCATATGGCCATGACCCATGAAAGGAAAGAAGAAAATGTGTAAAGAACTATCCATCTTTCTCTTCTTCACTCAGTAGGAAAGGAGAGGGAGTTCAATTCGGTATATATATCTATTATATAGAGTGAAGCATTTTATAAGGTGACAATTTTACATCAATTATAAAAAATTGAATACTAAACTTTTTAACCAAGGATTTAATACTATTTTATTTTGTCATATTTTATTAATTACTTAATTAGTAAAATACTGGTGTGTTTCGATAGATAAATTTATTTAATATGATATATATTTTATTTAGATATTTATGTAAATTTAAAATTAATTATTTAATCATAAAATAAATTATGATAATAGTTGTTGGGGTGTTCAAAAATCTATTTCCTGGTTAATTTCTTTCATCAACTAATTATTTTCAGTCTTTAATTCTCTCATTTTCCTGTCTAAACTTAATTGGCAAAAACATATTAAATAAATCTCACATGCTAACGTTCACGCCTGACACATTCATTTATTTTCTTACACACAAATCAAGAAAAATTAAATTATTAAGAAAATAAAATTTATGCATCGTATGTATACAAATTATAAGAAATTGTGTCAACTTATTATTTTTTATAGGATTGGATAATGGGTCGCTTTGTACAGATAAGAAGTTTAAAACTTAAATTCAATTTAAATCGCAGTTGATTTAATTTTAATTCATAAATTTTTAATTTAATGGATTCGATTAAATTAATTTATTGAATAAATTAGATAGATTTAATCAATTTAATATTTATTAAATTAATTTTATAAAAATTAATTTTTATAAAATTTACAAATATTTATTTTTAATTTAAAATAAAAATACTATTAAAATTTTAGAAAAGCAACAAATAGGATTATAGTTTTATTATTGGAAAAAATATTATTACTTGATAATAATTTCAATATAATTTGATATTAATTTGATTATTTATACTTTAAAGCTCAAACTAAAGAACACTTAAAATTTTATAGCGTATGTTCTTGTATTTTTGTGAATAAACAATATCAATATTAAATTATAAAAATAATAATATCATAACAACATTATGAATCTCATTTTTATAATTAATGAATCTATACTAATAAAAATATATATTAATTAGGTTTGGTCGGATTTAATTTTTGACGGATCCAAATTAATTATTTGAATCTGATCGAATCAATTTTATACTATTCAAATTAAGCAACTAAATAAACTGACATTTGATCTGATCCGAATTATTTGCACAAAATATACAATGAGTCGGTCGATTTCAATTGAACGGTTAAAATTTATCCATCCTTAATTTTCTATATTTTCTCTTCATGCTAACCTAAACACATTCATTTACTTTTAAAAAGAAACATTCTAGTAATTTTTTCTAAAATATTAATACTACTTATTTGAGGGTGTGCGTGAGTAAGAGTGGACAACGAGTCAGATTAAACAGATTTAGATCCAAAAGAACCATCCAAACCAAACCACATATAGTATATATCTAGGTTTATTTTCAGTCATTTTTTAAATCAGTTTTGATGAATTAGATCTATGCGGATCACAGGTTAAATCAAACGATTTGTTTCGCTAAATTGACAACTACCGATCATAAGCCCAATAAATTTTTAAAACTTTTTTCATTTTAATGAAATTTGTTTTTCCTTCCTAATAATAAAATACAAATTTCATATGTAACTTTGAAGTCAATATTCATATTGGACTCAAATTATGACTTATTTCATCTGCTAAAAAGATCAAGAAAAATTTGTCGAATCTCATTCATAGAATCAAAGTGGTTCTTTATTAATGTCCCTTACAAATTGAAAAATAAACAATCAATACCGAATATAAAATAACCACGGACTAAATCATGCCAAATTAAAATAGATTAATGGTAATTCAAATTGAAAAACAAATCAAGTACATTATAAATGAAAGTTAACTAAACAATTGAATTCTTCTTCTATTTTGAATAATAGCATACAATTTCTCTTCACTCATCTTTAATCTGAAAAAGAGTATAAAAGAATAAAGATTAAAAAGAGTAAAATACATATTCCAAAATAGAAGCCACTTTGCTTGGACTATTGTATATCATAAATTAAATGTTGCTATCACATTAAATCAGAAATCAAAAAGTTCCAATCACATTAAATTAAAAATCAAAAGCAATGTTAAACTTTAACATTTTAAAACTTAACATTTTTAAGCACACTAAACAACAAATCAAGTAAGCATGTTAATTAAAGAAGTAAATGATAGTAATTGTTATTCACCAGGGAAGAATGATAGCAAGCATTGAATTGTTTTTTTAGGAGAACAAAACACAGAAGAAAGATAGTAAACATTGAATTATTTTTAGGAGAACAAAACACAGAAGAAAGATAGCAAGAGATTGTAGCCGACCAGAATGATCTTCAGTGGTCGATACTACTTAGATTTTTGTGGTTGTTGAAGTTACTAGGGGGTACCTGTAAAACACTTTGATGTCAAAGTGAGGTTCAGAGTAAAGTCCAAATAGGGAAAGGTGTAGAGAGTAGTATACTTGACCCTCTAGCGCTGGCCAAGGTCCCCATTTTGACCGGATGCCCAGGTCTAAAATAGAGACTGCCATGATTCTACGTGGTTAGAGGAGACCAGTTCATGGTCTATATCTTGGTCCAACTGCTATGTGATTCTCAGAGGGCGAAGACTTATTTTTTTCGGAGCAGGATGACTCCGTGATATTCAGAGAAACATTGGCCACGTACCGTTGCCGAGCATGTGGAGGAAATGCCATCGACATGGACGTTATGAGGAGTAGGTCCTCGACGGAAACATGTAGGAGACATTCTCGACATGCACGTGCTGAGGAATAGGTCCTCGACGGGTACGCATAAGAGAGGTTCTCGACATGCATGTGTTGAGGAGCAGATCCTCGACAGGCACGCGCAGGAGAGGTTTCCCAACGGTTATAGCAATATGGGCCACAATAGTAGGCTTTCTTCGTAGCAGAGTTGGGTTTGGCCTTGGCTGGCAGTAGACTAATGGCATGCCCAGTCTAGAAATAGGGCCCCCTAAGTCGTTGCTCCTAGGTAGAGGAGTTATGACTTTAAGGTCAACTCAGGTGTCGAGGAGATAGTAACGTCGAGGATCTTTGTGGCTTCCCTTGGGTCTTTAGTGTATGCAAAAGGAGGGAACATGTTTGTTCAGATTAACAATCTTCCTCGCAGAGAGGGAAACAATCGTCCAAATTAACAATCTTCCTCGCATAAAGGGAAAATGGTTGTCCAGATTAACAATATTCCTCGCATAAAGGGAAACGATAAAGGTGCCACGACTGCGAGTAGTGGTGTGCTCGCGGAGGATGAATTTTTCCCTCGCCCGTTGTCCGGGGAGATGAAGAGTTTCGGTCGGCGTCTTCTTATCGGGCCACGTGTTGTTGCATTTATCGTGCAATGATGGCCTAGGCATAGGTGTAACACCCGGAAATTCATTAAATTATTTAAATGAATTATTGAGGATTTAATTATTGGAATTTAGTCGAAGAAGGAATTATCAGAATAATTATAAGGAGCATTATTGGATTAAATATATATTATTAGAATTGATAATTGAATAATTAGTCAATTTAGTCAAGAGAAATTAATATTGGAAATAATGTTTATTTTAATAGAATATTACTTTATTAGTTGGGTCAAGTTGGGCGTGTGAAATAGCAAGATTAGGAATAGTATTAACATGCCCATTAAAGTTACTAGTAGACCTATTATTATATTAGGTTATGATATATAGAAGCTAGCAGCCAAAAACCAAAAGAAAAACAATTATCACGTAGCAGTAGAAGAAACAAGGTTTTGGAGGCACCAAGTGGGAGGTAAGAAAATTTAGAGAAGTTGCCGTCAAACCAGTTGCAGTTTCAACCGGAGAATTCGACCGACCGGAAAACCAAAAGGTAAGGGTGGGGTTCGGATTTTATAACCGGGAATATGATGGTTAGTATGTAGGATTGGGGTTCTGACTACCTAATGGGTTGCATGACAAATAGTATGTGGGATTTGGGTTGTTAAAATTGTTGTTATATGTATGTTGATTATTGTGAATATTCTGATGAAATTGGTTGATGTCGATAAATTCGTTGTTGAAAATTGTTCCATGTTGATGTTGGTGTAGTTGTTTGTTGCTGTAATAAAAAATCAATGAAAAATTGGGTAAATTGGTGAAGTATGCGTGACCGGAAGAAAGGGTGCGCCATGTTGTGAATGGAGAGTGATGACCGGAGGCATATACAACATGTAGTGACGACCGATAGGGGTATTATGCTGAATGACACATGTTATGAGAATGACCCTGCCAATTAGCAGGGATGATGAGAAGGTGGGTGTCGATCGGCACCATATATATATATTTGTTTGTTGTTGTGACAATAGACAAGGGGTTCTGAGTGGAAAGTGTCGTTAGGCCTTGTGCTTGAGGAAAAGTTGTGCCACTAGGCACATTGAGGTGTGACGTTAGGCATTATTTTCATGGCAGACATTGTTTCTGTAGCTTACCAATATAATTAGCAGAATTATATTAGTAGCATCATCTGTAATGAAAATAATTTAGCAGTGGGATTAATTTAATTAAGTTAGCAAATAATTAGACGCGAGTCGATTAATTTGGTATGTTGGTATGTTGATATATTTTTGAGAATTAGCCGAATTAAGCGGTATAATTAGTTATCCAGAATTAAGTAGAATTTTACAGGGTAACTGTAACACCCCAATTCTACCCCGGCAAATTATATAAATAAATCAGAGTTATAAAAATCATTCATGCAGACGGATCGGGATGCCACAAATTCTTCTATCAAAATTAATTACATTCATCGTGGATATATAACACTTTTAAAACATCGGATGAACCATCATCATAACATCTTTAATTAAATAACTCAACATCTACGCAACAGAATTCTTAATAACATCTTTATCATCAATACAGCAACTTCGAAACAACACAATTTAATAGTAATCAACTTAAAGTTCAACAACTGAATAATCAACAATCAAAAACAACACATGTTCAC